GTCGTGTGTACAACTGAGACAATGAGCGCTTTTCAGGATCAACTAAATGCTGGATTTTCAAAAGTATGTGAAAAATGTTAAGTTTGCAGCATAGAATCTTTAAAATACGTCCGAGAGTTTCACCGTTCTGTTATTGTGGCGACATTTCCACGCCCTAAAACGTGAACGAAACGAACTGTGATTGGTTGTTTGACATGTCGGTCAAACGGCCTCATGGGCGGGCCTAGGCCAATGAAAGCTGCCATGAATTCCAGACCTTCAGCCGTCATTCTGAAGGTCTGGCTACGCGAGACTAATAAGGCCCTGTCCACACGAACGTGGTTATTTTCAAAACCGCAGCTTTTTCTACACGGTTTGGCCGTTCATCCACACGCAAACGCAGCACCAGGTCACTGAAACCGAACATTTTTGAAAACTCTTCTTCTTCTTTCTTCTTTTAAATTTAATAATTACTGCAAGACAAAGAGCTCGTTCAGTTTAAACCTTAAATGTGTGATCACGTAATGACTATGATTGTGATGTATTAAAAATATTGACAATAACATGGTTAACTTAAAAATAACTTAAGTGACCAAAACCTCAGTGTTATACAATTATAGTGTTAACACTGCAAAAGATTACAGTAAACAATTAATTATCAGTGGCACATAAAGATTGACTTTAAAACCTACTGTGAGCTCATCTTGAGGACTTTTGGCATGTTCTTGAATTGTACCTCTGACTTTTCATTTTTTAACTAGCTACAAATTTTTCAGTTTGAAAAGTTAGTCTTAAATTCGCCAAAATACGCCACAAGTTCTGTATTTCTAGTCTTTTTTTCTAACAGCAGAATAGCAAAGATCTTTGGTATCTGTTAGCTAACACCGCTGACAAGGTTAGTCAGTTAAAATTAGCAGCACACAGAAAGATAGATTGACACAATTTATTTTTGAAACGTACCTTATTATTGTTGTATAGAAGTAATCAGTCTTTGTCCAGTGGTAAAAATGCAAGCAGTCTCAGCAAATTCGACAAACAAATTCAAAAAACCGTTGCTTGTTGCGCATCTTTTTGAAAACTCCTGCCAGGGTGAAGATTTTCAAAAACTAGTGCTTCATAGCATGCGTTTGCGTTTTCATGTGGACAGAGATTTTTTTAAAAACGGAAGAATGAAAAACTCAGTTTATAAAAATACCCATGTACGTGTGGACATGTAAAAAGATGATGAATGAGGTCTTTTTAGATCATGTGTTTTTGTTATTACCCGCTCCTAATTTAAATAATTTGTTTTTCAATATATGTGCATCTGGTCATACCTGGATGTGCCATATGCCTCAGATCCGGAGATTAAATTCCCAGTTGTGATTCTTCCTCCTCAGCCTGTCTCAGGGGCTACAAACAGTGACTTTGGAATCTGGAATCAACCACCAGGAAGCAATATGTACCCCAACCCACCT